GGCGCTGCTGCTCGGCACCCGCTGACTGGCGGCCGTGGCTGAGCCCCCTGCACCGCACCGCCCCGCTGCCAGGGACGGACCCGACCCGGCTGCAGCGCAGGGTCCTGCGGGACACCCACCTCCCGTGGGGCCGGGGACCCCGCGCAGCGCCGCCGAGCAGCCTCCGGCCCAACCTCGGTCACGGGAGCACCAACCCATCATTAGTCGGAGCTGCCTGATTAACCGGGGGAACCTCTGTGGCCGCCTTCATTGCTCAGAGAGAATAGTCGTGTTGCTTTTGCTAATTTAGAGCATCCGCGCTGCTCGACACATCATTTTTTAACGTGGCAGCTAAAGACAATGATCAATTAAAACGCTGGTGCCATCACAAGTACGGATGCGAACGCAGCGCAAACGAGCGGACAGGAGCGCGGCATGCGGGGGTGCTGAGCCGAGACGTGAAGTCGATAAACGCGGCCTCTGGCAGGAGAGATCTCCTGTGAGGTCTCTCGGGCTGCGCTGACAAACATGGGAGACACCCGAAACCCTCCTGGGAAACAAGTGCTCCGATGCATTTCCCTTTCCGAATTAAGCCTGTGATCTTCTGGTGAGTAATTCTGATAACGAGAGCGACTTGTGCGGGATTGATCAATCAGCGTCAGGCGCGGGAACGGGGCTCCCTCCCCACGGCACCCCGGCACCACGCTGCGGCACGAGCCGCCACTGCCCCGCGTCGCGGGGGTACTGCCGCAAGAGGGTAACAGCGGCGTGGGCCGGGTCTGTGGAACCCTCTTGCTTCATATTTATCCTCTGGATTTAACAACATCACGTGTCCTTCGCATCCTCAACGTATATCCGGCATGTTTGACATCCTCCACGTTGTTGAAGGAAAAACCCCAGCACCAGCACCTAGGGGTTTCCCCACAAATAAATGCCATCCCTCCAGCCAAACAAACATGCAGATGGAATGAAAAAGGTCTACAAAAGAAAGCGGTGCGGTTTTTAACCTGATATAGAAAAATATAATTAAGAAAGAGAATTTTTATTAGGGCAATTTCACTTTATTTTTTTCCATACAGCAAGGTCAACTATAGCAGTAATAATAAAATAAGCATAAAAAACAAATTGCAGCCCAGGACAGAGTACATAATTTGCAGCAACTACAAGCAAAAAGTAAGTCTGTGATTACATAATAGTAAAACCAAGCACATCTGTCCTTTCAGCAGATGAAAGTTGCGGGGTTGCAAATAAGTGCAACGTCGTTAATTATTCAGTGTGAGTACTGGAGAGATCAGAGAAAGTAACAGCCTGATCACTTTTTCTTTCCAGCTTTGGCATAGAGAACGACAAGGTTTCGTGAGCGCTTTCCATTAAAACGGTAAAATTTCCCAGGGTTTTTTTTTCACCTGCTAAAAGAACAGGACCACTACAGCAATAAAAAATAATCACATAACAACTACAGCTACGGTGTGCTGTTTGGTTTGCCTGTTCATGATTTAACTCTTTTGTGAAAGTCAGTATTTGTTTTGAAGAATCTTTTTTGTGAACAATAAACCACTGAAATTGTCAGAAACTGGTTTGAATAGCATATATCTTTAATATATTTTCTGATACTTTAAACATGCAGTAGTTTTTGAGTAATGTACGGAATATTTGATCCATGATTTCACCTCGATGGTCTGAAGTACCTGCTTTTTTTTCTTTTTTTTTTTTCCTTTTTTTTCTTTTTTTTTCTGAATGATTTTCAGGCAGATTTGACCCAGTGGAGCTTTTGTCAGTCATGAGATCTCGGAAGGATGGCATATCTTTCCAGCTGAAAAAATCCTGGCAAACTACAAGCTGTCCACATAAAGCAAAGCAACTTTTTTGAAGGGGTATGGAGTGCTAACTCTGTGCCACTTTTGCAAGCAATTTTGTTCAGCCTGTCATTTTATTAGCCTTAACAAAACTCCTTGTAATTATAGACATTTTTATTCAAAATAAGATCTTACTATTATACAGGTTTCTCTCTTTTTTGACTATATACAGAAGTGCAAAAAGTCAACCTTCTCTCGGTACGTTCCCACATGCTAAACTGCAGCATAATCAACCCTCAAGAGTTTGCACACACACACTATAATTCTTGTTACGTAAACTTTGAGTATTTGGATTATCAACAAAAAGTCCCTTGATCTATTGATTATGCAGCTTATTTATAACAAGGCCTGATATTCAGGGATTTCAAAAAATATTTAAACAATATTTTAACATTTGAAATGGATACAGTAGAAAATAAATTTTATTCTAATATCTAGGAACTAGATTTTCTCATAATAACTAATTACAAACAAAATAAATCATCAAAATATTACTCAATTGTCTGCCAGGATTGTTGCGATAGCAACAACTTAACTTCTTACTTAGCAATGATTATATAATTATAAGATATCCATATAAAAGATCTTTGTTCTTTTAATGAAAACTAGACAAGAACTAACAATGACTGACATTCTTACATTGTAATATTAAATCAGTAAAATATAAATCATTTAGTTAACAATAATACGAATACTCATATGACACTACATGTAAATTCAAAACTGAGTATGTTATGAAGAAAACTACTTTTTTTTTGTATTTTGAAAAAGTCATCAGTAAACTCTAATAAAACAAAATTCTAGAAACTGAAATGGTATTCAACTGGTAATAGAAAATGAAAACAATCTAATAAATGTAAGAAATAAAAACTACACTTTTAACAAGAAAAAAATAAGTAATATTCTCTAATGTTAAGTAACTACAATAACATGTGAAGTCACCTATACTTTCTTAACACGATTGAAATTACATTGGTATGGGTTTTAACCCGTAATGTAATAATCTAAGGCTTTAATAGATGTACAGTACAATCAGTAAAATCAACACATCATTCTTAGACTATAAAGCATCTCTCTCAAGCATAAAAACTCGCAGTAAACTTGGAAGTACGGGGAGTTCTACAACCGAACTCCCGCTTCTCCCACTCCACGCTACGCTACCAGTGACCTGGCCCCCACTTCAGCACTTTGCTGAACAGAGCAAAAATATCCTTTACTAGCTGCAACATCCAAACCACAAAAAGGAATTCCTTTGGATGAATCCATTCTTAAAACTTGAATGCACATCTATTTTTTTGTTTTTATTTTGTAAAGGCTTTCTAAGGCTATAAGCAGTTAATCTGAACAAAAAAAATCACATATAAAACTCACCCAAGTATTTAACCCTCCCGATTTCTACGCTAATTAACATCTCCATGTTTTCATATTTTGGTTTGTCATGCATCTGATGATGTCAGTGCTTCTTTCGTCTTTGTTTAGAGTCACCGTGTAAAGCGTGACTTTGATGAAGTAAAAGCGAAACCCATCTCTGCAGAACATTTATAGTCCTTTTGACTTTCGACAGAGGCTATAAATAGAAGCAAAAGAAGTTCCTCAAACATTTGCGACTGTGTCTCAGAAATGGCTTTTCCCTTTCGCGTATCACGTTATACAGTAAAATACGCATAAACACTACACTACGGCGCCTTAAAGTAGGTTATCTATGTGTCCAGTCCGGGTTAATCTGTCCGGCCGGAGTACGGCTCTTGTGCTGCCTACTGCCACTGCGACTGTGGCCGCGACTGCTGCGAGGAACGGTTGGCCATTTCTGAGACAGCTTTGGTTTGAAACAGAACGGTGCCCTTCGCCCGATTAGTACTAATGAAGTAAGTGAAAACGTGGTTCTGAAAATAACACTGCAGAAATAATACTCTAATCGGATGTACAGTCTATGGCACTTCATGAGAATCCTTAACAACATGGTATTTAAAGCCGTCGATGTGCTTTAAAATATACACAGTTGTGGTTTTGCTTGGCACATTCATCTCTGTCAGATACCTCTCTTACCGCTTCTTACAATCTATTACATTAAAAATATTACTCTGAAACAAAAATTACTGTGCATGCACGCTCTCATCTATAATGGCAATTTTAAATACAAGGTGCACCTTTGTTATTTGTAAACCTTGAAAGAAATAAACTTACTTTAAAAAATTATATCTTGGTCTACAGACGTACCAATACATAATAGATTCATGGTTACAGCATCGTCTGTCTTTTCAAGGTGACGTACATGATTATGTAGGAAATAGACTCCAGATGCATATTCAAACCCATATGCATACTCCTGTGCTAGAAAAGATAGACAATGTCGTAGTTTTTAGACAATAAGATCACCTCAGCACAAATATCAATTAAATGTACAAAGTATATAGGCAACAGTGTGCAGTGGATTTCCAAGTTCTGGTTTCATCTCGCTAACATGCAATGTGTGGATGTCTCACTGCTGAGGGAGTCTCCGAGTGTTGCTTGACGGTATATACATTATGGCTAATGAGCTTGTCCTCTTCTCACCCAAACACACTGTCCGTTTCTCTTTACTTATGATCTGGAAAGGGAAAAAGAGAAAGCGTTTTCAACACAAGTCATAACTCCTCGTCAGCACCGCATCAGCCCAAGCTTTGTGTTTGCAAGAGGGAAAAGTGCCCCCGAGCGCGGAGGAGGCCGGCACCCAGCGCCCCGCGGGGTGTCCCCTCGGGGACGTTCTCGCAGCACAGGTTCACTTTACAAATGGGGACAGTGCAGCCCCAGCCCGCTGCCGAGGGACACCCGGCGGCAAACTGACCAGAGCCGTCCCACCGCAGTCACTCGAGCAGTTTAACGCCATTTCTGCTCAGCTGAAAGGAACAACTGGTATTATAAACCCACCGGGGCAAATCCGCTAATCCTCCCCCAAAGCAGTAGCTCCATTCTGGCCAGGCCGGTCAATAAGGAACGTGGCAGAAATGGAGCGCACGGGAGAGGAAGGGAATACAAATCTGCCAATGCAAAATTTGCAAGTTTGCCAATGACACCAAGCTGCGTGGAGCGGTGGACAGGCCGACAGGTCAACCAGGCCAAGGGCAGGGTCCTACACCTGGGTCGGGGCAATCCCCAGCACAACTCCAGGTTGGGCAGGGAACGGCTGGAGAGCAGCCCTGAGGAGAAGGACGTGGGGGTGTTGGTGGGTGAGAAGCTCAACATGAGACGGCAACGCATGATGACAGCCCAGGAAGCCAACTGTATCCCGGGCTGCATCAGAAGAAGTGTGGCCAGCAGGGCGAGGGGGGATTGGGCCCCTCTGCTGCACTCTGCTCTGGGGAGACCCCACCTGGAGCACTGTGTCCAGCTCTGGAGCCCCCAACATAGGAGAGACATGGACCTGTTGGAGCGGGGCCAGAGGAGGCCCCGGAGATGCTGGGAGGGCTGGAGCCCCTCTGCTGGGAGGACAGGCTGGGAGAGGTGGGGGGGTTCAGCCTGGAGAAGAGAAGGCCAAAAAGGGGAGACCTCAGAGCCCCTTCCAGTGCCTAAAGGGGCTCCGGGAGAGCTGGGGAGGGACTTTTGACAAGGGCATGGAGTGATGGGATGAGGGGGAATGGCATCAAACTGGAAGAGGGGAGATTGAGATGAGATATTGGGAAGAAATTCTCTCCTGTGCGGGCGGTGATCCCCTGGGGCAGGTTGCCCCAAGAAGCTGTGGCTGCCCCATCCCTGGAGGTGTTCCAGGCCAGGTTGGACGGGGCTTGGAGCAACCTGGGCTGGGGGGAGGTGTCCCTGCCCAGGGCAGGGGGGGGACTGGGGGGGCTTTAAGGTCCCTTCCGACCCAAACCCTTCTGTGAGTCTATGAGTCTCCACTCAGAGCAAATGGCACATCAGTGGAGTTCAGAGCCTCTTCCCCCGTATCTCATTAGTTTTCTTAGAAAGAAAATAAAAACATTCTGTCCCTGAAAAAGACAAATTATGCACACAAAAAGGTAAGAAAAAGGCAAGCAGTAATGCATTGGGAACTTACTGTTTGTTGACAAAATGTCTACATCTGTGTAACATACTTGTGGCTAGTCAGATGTTCGGCAGATATTATGGGTATCTATAGGTAAAAAATTTCAACAATGAATAACACATGCAATGAGCCAACCCAGAGACACAGCAATTTTGCTACAGAACGTAAGTTTGGAAAAGTGAGGATCAGCTGTGAGTTGGTGGATTTTATATTGTAACTATAAGTTAAGGTCAACTGAAGTGCTACAATAGCAACTTAAACTGGAAAACATTGTGTTAAGTACTACTTGACAAGTATAAATAAGTATTATTGGTTGTTTAGGAAATAAGAGAAGTTAAAATCTACAAAAGTCATGCAGTGCAGTAATTGAAAATAGCCCTTTTTGTTGGCCTACACAAAATTCTGTGCTTTCAGCGTATCATTTAAAATGGTAAGTTCTACAGTGGCCTTGTCCCAGTCTGATTTTGTGAAGTGTTCACTGCTTTCACTGTCTTGGGTTTTGACCGCCAAACCTACGATGCCCTGAGCTTGATTTTCAGGGCTGGTGAAAATCTGCGGTCGAGAAGAGCTGCCTGCTCTTCCCACGGCTGCTGCGGGCATCAGGGTGGATCGGCCGAAAAGCTAAGGCTCCCCAAAGCAGTGAAACAATTCTCAAAATGTTCATCTGCGTACACAGAATGCAGTACGTGGCTCTCGAAGTGCCCCATCAACTCAGTTTCTTATTAAAAACCAAAACAACCCAGTATTAAAGTCAGAGCAGATGACCAGCAGCAGAAATAGCCAGCTCGTCCCCTGCAGCCCCCGCGGGCAGCGCGGCGCCGAGGCCCCGGGGAAGCAGCCCAAGCAGCTCCAGGGCACGCAGGCGCTGGGCGACCGCGAGGACCCTGCGCTACGGATGGGCCCGGCAGCGCGCCTGGAGGGAGCGAATGCGCCCACGCGCAGGGGAACGTGCTGGGCACGGGACACAGAACTGAGGTGCATCACCACAAACGGCTGCTGCACCTGGACAGACTCTTCCCTGACGGATCCTACGGCTGACCTGTTCATCCACACCAGAACGGGGACAGGGAGGTTCCCTCTTAACTGAATTGCTTACAGGTCTCGCTGTCGGTTTTTCCATCCCTTGTGCCCTCTCCTCCCCTGGCAACTCCGCACAACTCTATGACATTGCCAACTCGTACAGAAACGTGCTTCAAGCGTAATGAAGCTTCTCATACCATTTTTTCCTACTGCTGCAGGAGAGGCTGTGGCACCCAACTGCGGAGAAGCGTCAGGGATGGTGCTGTCAGAACAGACCAAGGACCTTCAACACCAGTCAATGAAGATGAAGGGCCAGATCTTAAGACTTTCGGCATGCATGCACATCGCATCGTGTGGCATTAAATAATTTCAGCATTGCTCACATAGTATATACATATATTCGTTATATATGTATATATGGAGGTTTGGCTGCAGTACTTCACTACGTGTGTTATGAGGCTCCAGGGAGGATACGCATGAAATGATCGGATTCTACAACAGAAAGTTTCCCTGTAATCTGTTTGGGAAAGTGCATGGTTATTTTGACAGAGGTCAATTTTTAAAAAATCATGATGTTTTTCGGTGGCTTGGCTCTCTCTCACAAGTCTTTAGCCTTACCGAGGATAGAGAGACACTTCAACTAACTGAATGGTGGGATGAACTGCAATATTAAGACACTTTGGGCATACAGGTGGTTGCTTGCTCAGGTGACTCGTATGCAGAGGTAGCCCTACCTATAAACTAGCTGTCCAAAACACAAAGTGATTCTTATGCTAGTTTAAATCTGTGAGTGAAACGTTTCTCAAGAGCAGAGAGTGCGACTCCCCAGGTAGCCTAACCTGAGCCCTCTTTGGAATCGTACAACACTCAGCTCCCTTTTGAGGCTGGGGACGTGCGCGCCCACGCAGCACTGCAATGGTGTAATTTTTGGAGTAATATTTGTGAGCGATCAGTAAGCAGATGGGTTAACAGAGAAGGTACAGCTGGGCATCCTACTAACTGGTGGCGCTGGGAGGCAAGGGTGGCAAGGCTCGAAGCCCGAGACTCGGACTCGCTCCTGCGAGAGCCTGCAGCACCCGCGCAGCCCCGGCGCACTGCGGCGAGGCCGGGGGCTCCCGGCTCTGCCGGAGCCGACTCAGCCCCTCTCACGGCGGGACCGTCCCCAAGCAGGGAGGTGCGGGTGCGGCGGGGGACGGCATCGCTGCTGAACGTCCAAGCGCAGCGGCAGAGCCGGCAGCTTTACCGCGGGATTCTGAGATTGCGTACGGAGTTGGCTCTAGGGACAAAGGGAGCTGCGTGTGTCGGGCGAGCCCGCCTTAAAAACGGACGTTTATCCTCAGAACTAATGTCACACAGAACCACACCTGCACAATGCTAAAGAAAAGGCTGAGTTCCCTTTTGTAAAAGGCACATGTGTGACTCCCCTGAGGCCAGAGCAGCACCTGCAGCTTAGGCCAGAACCGATGGTTCCGTGACACACGGCAACTCTAACTTCCTAGCTAATCTCAAAAATCATTTGTTTTTATAGGAGAAAGAAGAGGGTCTTTTACAAGTTTTTACTGTTGTACTTCCTGCCAGACGTACTACACCAATCTGCATTTTTGAGACCGAGCTAGCTAACGCCGCAGGCCCGCTCCCGGCCTGCGCAGCTCCCGCTGCTCCGGGGCTGACTGCAGCCTTTCTGGGGGACTTTTCATCACTCCCTTAGTAAAGCATTGTTCTTTTTTTTCCCCTGAAATACACCCAGGCAACGATTGGGCAGCTATTTAGAAATAAACCCAGATTCTAATGGCCATTTCCTAAGCGGAGCCTGGCGCCTGCAACGAGCCGCCGGCCCTTCCCTACCAGAATCACAAGCTGAAACAAAGGTGTCAAAGACGCTTCTGTGTGGCCCACGCTCAAATGTTTTCGTTTTGCTCTTGGAAGAGGAGAGTCGGAACATGTTCAGACTGCTCAATTCAGACTGTTAAAATTCTGACCCTGCAGCCCCTCTGCACAAAGGCTTCACGGCCTTTCACCGGAGTTCTGCGCTAAAAGGAACTGTCGGCTTCACAGAAATAGAAATAAATAATGGGTTCCGTGTATTATCCCTTTCTCTTTACATCTCTGAGAGCAGAACTAAGCAGCGCGGCCCGTAAATGTTAAGACTGAGTCAGAAACTCCATTATCAATTATTTTTAGCATCAGAAATGGAACTGCAGCGCCTTTTGAGCATGGATAAAGGCTTATTAAGCTGTGCTGCAGGTCTTAGAGAGAATGTGTAGGCCAACAAGAGGTAAAATCAAAACCCCCATGCTCATTAAAAGCACCGATTTCAAGTTGTCTGTAAGGAACAAAGCTGTAAATTAGCAAACCTGGTTGGCTGTGGCTGTTGCAGCGAAGGGAACACTTGTGGCAGATGTTGTTGCTGCAGACACAGTGGCTGGCGTAGCACCGTGCACCATGGGAACTTTCGGAAGGAAAATCATATAAGCAAACATACAGAAGAGTGTAGCAGTATGGGAACCAGAGCGACATGTGGTAGGATAATTGAGCATGGTATTTATCACAGCAAAAAGCCCGAGACGTCATTGCCAGCGCGTGACATGCAACCACAGTGCAAAGCAGGACGACATTCCAGGGAGAGAGAGGGGAGGGAAATGAAAAGAGAAAAAAAGGGGAAAATGCTTGTTACCATCAAATCAAGAAAATCGACACAAACAAGCTTAACCATTTCAATACAAAAATCAACAGAAGAATTTTTAAATGCCCTTATATTTACAAATTTTTGTCGTTTAAAAATTCAACCCAAATAGTAACCGCAAACAAAAATTAATCTCGTTGAAGGACAGTATACGTCTATGTGGCTATAGTAAGGTACAGTCTTTATTTAACACGAGATAGTTGCTAAACACTGGAACTCATAGTCCAATCAAAATCCACCAAGGAACGATGTGCAATTCAAACAACTGCTGTACAAAATTAACAACGTCCGTGTGTCCGTGTCAATTAAATAAAACAATTGCATTTAATTGACAGGTGTTAGTGCAGGAGGCTAAGGGAGATGGATTGGCACGAGAGCTCTAAGTTAACATCTAGCAGTGGATTTTGAGGGTCCGTGAGCTGCACCACAGGATTAAGAGAATCAAGAAACAAAGCTGGCACCTACCAACACTTGTAGCGGGTGTCATGCACAATATTGAGCCTGCCCATCATGCATTGCAACAGGAAGGTGGATTTGGAAAGGGAAAAGAATTAAAACAACCCATCACACGTGTAATTAGAAATTTCATTTGAACAAAGAAGAAAAATTGTTATTATGGGAACAGTGGCATGTAACCGTCAGCACAATCAAACCATACAATAGCACAGTGATCCGTTAGAACTAGTCCTCAGCGGAGGGGACAGAGCTGGCCCAACTGTGTGCCGCTATGTCGTGTTTGCCTTCGTAGCGCTGCGCAATACTACCGTGGCTCAGAAAAGCTTCTTTCGCTTCATTTTAAAACCCTTTTAATTTGCCTTTTGACATAAGCTTGGCCATGGTCCTTACCCTGCTCTCCTCACATTGAAGGGAATGCTTTACAGCCGCACCCCACTACGCGTCCCCGAGGAGCACCCTGCCGGGACACGGTGCCGGCGGGAGCAGCGGCAGTGCCGGCCCCTCTCCACGCGGCGCTCGGAGGGTTCTCACGGGGACAGGCAGGCGAGGCTCTGCCCTCAGCGGGGACCCTTCCCGGGCGGGCTGGGGCGAGCCATGGCTTTAGCTATAGCGCTTCCTCTGCCACGGTCCGGCTGCTCCGACATCTCGGGAATACGCAGGCAAAGCCGGGCGCGTTTTGGGCAGCACTTCGGTTGCAGCGGTGTGACCCCTGCGGGGTGCCGGCCAAGTGGAAGCGACCCTGACCATGCCCTGAACACGCCGGTCAGGGGAGTGACGGAATAGCTGACAGCTCCTATGCAGCTCAGGGCAGCACCAAACAACGCTGGTTCAGCACTTTTTTCTACATTACGGGCTGTATTTTAAGCTGCGGGTGCCCGGGCTCACAACCCGCAACTCTCCCTATGCTACACCAAAATCATTGAAGTGACAGCACCGTGTGTGTTCTACCCTGCAACTGGAAAGCCACCGGCAGGATGGTGGGTTTAGGATCATCACGGTATCATTTTTTAACTATTCACTAAGTTGGCAATTCTGGTTACTTTACACAGCAAAATGCCTTCCACCAGACTGAACTCAGAATCTTCTGGTTTCGCTTCCCATATGTTAAAGATATACTGATATTTCAGAATATCCGTTTTTAACAAACGATTTACTTTTTATTTAAAAAAATAACATTTTTATTTAACAACGAACATTTATTAACACTGTTTGTTTTGCCTGAGGCAGCAGAAACTGCAAGAAACCCTGAAACCTGGGAACAGAGACTGGAGTGGAAATGGGCACCTGCCCTGGCAGACGGGCAGGGGAGCACGGGGCTGCTGCTGCCGGGGCATTATGTGACCGTAGCCGGGGGCCAGGGAATTGTTTCAGCCGGTGCCAGGCATTGCAGGGGCTTGCACAACCTCAAGAGCATTTAACTAAGCAGGGAAAAAGTCAGTCAGTATAATTACTGCTGGGGACAAGGTTATTCTCTGTCATCGCTGTATCTGCAAGGCTACAAAGGAAAGGGCATAATCATGTTTCCTAATTACTCTTCTATTTCTGGGTTGTGGAAGAGACTGAAAATATTCCCAAAGAAAGGTTAAACAGAGGAAGGGCAGCTTTCCTGACTTCCCCACGCACAAACCACGGCTGAAGTCAGCGGGACCACTTCCAAGATTAAAAAATGGAGCAAAATTGGCCTATAAAGTGCAAACAGTAAGTAAAACTGCTTTCTCGGTCCCTCTTACGACATCTCTATGGTGTTAATGAGGTTACACAGAAGAACCTTTGAGTTTTGTCTCTCTGCAGAAGCGCCCTATTTATAAGGTCGTACATACTTCATTAGATCTGGAATATTACATCATTCCATGCATAATTAGGTCTACATGCTAAAGACGAGTTAGATTTTCATAATGACTCTGAAATATCACTGTACAGCTTTTCAGCTCAGAATTTCAGCCTGAGTTATCATCATTAACATTATAACCAGCGCACACAGTTTTGGAAGGGAATTGAAGCAAATGAACATAAGGCAGGAATGAAAATACTAGCTGGGGTGCAGTAACTTGCAAATATGGAGACATAATGCTGTATGACCCTCTTACCAGTCGTAAAAATAATTTTTGCTGTGACCTTAATATTCATCTTGACTTCAGAAGCTTTGACTGACTAATGAGAATGCATGAATAATAGATGTGCAGTTTCCAATGTTCCCTAGCTTTTCAGCACAAGGCAGAATTTTAATTCAAGGATGTGCTCAGTTAACTGATCACAACTTCACAACCAGATTATTTCTACAGCGGAACAGAGCTATTTTTATAAATATTCCAGGTTTATTGGTGTTCTGAGCATTTTTTTTCTCTTCTCTCCCTCGAACTATTCCCCTCAGTCTATTTATTCTGTCCAATATCCTAATGAAAAATATGGCCACAGAGGGCAGAAGCGCTCCTGTGGAGGTGACCAGTTGTGCCCGATCTCGCTCCCTCCCCGCTGTTCGGAGGAGAGCGGGGTTTTTCACGGACCCAGAAGCCCCACGGAGGACGGTGCTCCCACAGATGTGGCTTTAGGAAAGCATCTGTGCACTGCCTGAGCCCCAGCCCCGAGCAAGGCAGTTCTCCGGAGCTGGAGCTGCGGTACCTAAATAAACACGGGATGCGGTAACTTAGGGGCAGAGGTGGCTGAAGCCCCGCCAGAGCTGGGGAGGGGGTTCTGCTGCCCCGCTGCAGCTCTGCCTCACGGCAACAGCTCCTGGGAGAATCCCGTGAGCCTGACCCCTTTCTCCTGGGGGACTACGCTTCTCAAAGACCGTTCTGGTCACTCTGTTGACAGGCCAAGGCCAGGAACGGCTGTCTATGCACAGCCGAGGGGACAGCCAGCTGCGGCACAGGGCGGTAACAAGCACTGGGGCAGGAATTTCACGTAGCCGCAGACAGCAGCTCTCTCCCTGTAGGTACCCACATACCCCCCGGCAGCTCACAGTCACTGCGGGACAAAGAGCACGTGCACAAGCAGCGAACACCACGTAACCGGTGCTCTGCACGTTCACAGCCCCACAGGCAAACGCCTGCCCGCGTGGCTGCCAGGGCCTGGAGAGCCGGCGGCCGGGACCGCAGTCCCAGAACACGCTGGGGACATTTATTAAGTCGTGCAGAGCCTCCTCATTCGGCAGACTAACCCCGCTTATTCCGACTACCCAGCACCACAAGTGCTCCCAGCTCGCTCTTGTAACTCCTCCGACTCCCCTCTAGTCTGGGGACAGCTTCCAGCAGCCACGGTGTGTGGGAGACCTCAGCAGGGGAGCTGTGCAAAGCCCTGCGCTTTACTTGAGAGCGCTGAGGTGAGGATCTAAGAGCATTTAATCATTTAAAGTGCGCTGGAGCGCCAGTGTCCGCCCCCTGGCATGGACCATCCCTCTACTTACTTTCATGTGCTCCTGCACACAGGCAGCCAGATTTTTGCCTTACAATTTAGAAGAGGTATCTGGGTTTGTCTGGAAGACGAGGGGAAAACTCTCAGGGTGAGGCATGAAGAGGGCAGTGCCCTGGAGGGAGGAGGGTCCTGCTGAGACCCTCCACAGGGGCACACACCGACACCGTGGAGGCGCTGCGAGTGTCCAGCCCTCCACACCTCCTGCTTCTTCATATACTGCAGCTGAAGCAACCGAGAACACACATGAATGATTGCACTTTGGGGGTCTGAACCTGAGAAATGTCACTTTAATTCAGACCCCACTGAATTAACAGCAGTGGAGCTGAGGGCACCCACGCTCCGTGCTCTCCGTCGCTTCTTAGGGACTGACGGAGCAGCTCGATTTCCAGCTGACTATGTGGAAACAGGACTGGTGCCAGTTAATTTTAACTGGGGAAAACTAAAAAGCGCAAGGTGGCAAATAAAATTCTCAAACTTTCAGAAAAGAACTGTGAAGCTCAAACTGCTGCTATCTGAAAAATACAGAGAATTTACAGTAGCTCATGCTGCAAAATCCTTTGCTTTTCTTGTTTAACATATACTAAACTTCAGTGGTCAAGAAAGGTCAAGCGAAGCATCAAGAACCAGTGCACAAACTGCTGTCGGTTCCAGTATAGACTCACTAGAGGAAGAGCTGGGGCAGGTTGTGTGTAAGTGCCGATGTGAAAGGTCCCGGTCAAGGATGGACTGACGCACCCGAAGCATAACCCCAGCTTCTGTGCTCAAGGGCACAACTCAAAGCAGCTTGAGTACTTCCAGAAATCATCCAGCCCCACGCTGATTTAATGGGAGCTGGAAAATCGTGTGTTTACTAACTACATCAATTATGCCTTGCCAAAACAAATCTGTGAAATTGTTTTAAAATCTACAGGAAGGACTGTGACTGCATATTAATTTTAGTATGTGGGTGAGAGGCCTGACCTAAAGCTTACTCAGAGTCTTACTATTGACTCCAGCAATTTTTGCAACAAGCTTTTACTAATATATTTTAGTGGTTGTAATGTATTTTTGGAACCTAAATAAGTTACCACAATGTACTACATCAAGCAACTGATTTTTGTGCCATTTAAATTATACCTGTTGGTTGTATGCCAGATCAAGAAAGAATGGTAAAAGGTGTTATACCAAATTCCTGGGAACACACTTGCAAAAAATGTTTAGGATAAAATCCCTGAATTTTTTTGGTCAAGACTGAATAGCTGCATTTTCTTTCCTCCCCTGCCCTCAACTAGTCTGCATTACGCAGGGCTGTCCTCACACACTCCTTCATGTTTTTTGAGTACAGACCTATCAGATGCCCTCCGCATACCTCCTGGAACGATAGGGCTGTTTTAGTGTGGGTTCAGATGTAAAACACAAACCCAGTTGTGTTAATATAGGCATAAATTCACATGACATACTAGATATATACCTTTTCATGAAGGGTTGTTTGCAGAACCAAAACCTCTACTCCAACTTTAAGTCCCATCACTTGTCCTCTAAAGGGACTTCTTCTTATGTACATAGTAGAGGCATCAATCCTTCAACAATTATGCCAGGACAAGTGTAGATTCGATTGCTCTTGAACAAGAACAAGGGCACCTTGGTTCTGCTTGGTCCAAAATCAGCCCCGAGGCTTTAGAGGTAGAGGCCTGAGCCTTGGTTTCTTGTGTAGGTCCATGATTAGCCTACCTGCGAGACTGCCTGCCTCTGCCTTTGTGTGATCACTGCACCCTAATTAACATCAAAACCTTCAAGTGTGTGACTCAGAACAACTGTTGCTAAGCACATGAAGGCAAAGGGGTCTTACAGCAAAGAGAAACAAATACAACAGCTTAAGAGATGTGTAACAAAGAGAAGTTAATCGAGAGGAAGAGGAACGGGAGAGGAGATTTCAAGTTCTGATTTGGGATGACAGAGCATGACACTGATTTTTATATTAGACCAGAAAAGACCCACCCAGCTTCCGAGAGAAGCAGAGAGAAGCCAGCCGTCCCGCAGTCAGCGCTCCTCCGCCCGCGGCTCCCCGGCATGCCAGCGTCGCGGCAGGGGGAGAGGCTGCCTCTGCCCGGCAGCAGCCACCCGCCACCGCGCAGATCCCTCGCCGCATTTCCCACCAGGAACACACCGTTACCTCCTCGGGTACTATTTCCAGAATTCCCCCTTCTCCCTCCCCAGAAAAAGGCAAACGAGATGCACTTACCTGGTGGGAGAAAGGCTGTATGCTGCTGTAACTGCATGTTGGCAAGAGCTTGCTGGTATTGGAAAATACCAGTGTTAAAGACCGCAGTGGCACCATTGGTTTTTTCAAGCGCAGGCCTCTTTGGTAATGGGGGAAGTACAGTTTGAGGAATTCCCTGAATGGTGGATGGGTATAAAAATAAAGTCCAGTAAAAAAAAGAAAAAAAAAAGGGGGTGGGGGGAGGTAGGGGGGTGTGGAGGAGGAGGGGAAGGAGGGAGAAGACAAGGAAAGAGAGAAAGGAAAAAAGAAAAATCAGTAGAAGGCAAAAAAACCAGGCAGCACCATGTTTATCCATGAGCAAGCAAGCAGCATAGCAGACTTAACTACCAAATAAAAGGCGAGGTAAGAGCTTTACGAGGGAGCACTACTTTAGCCTACCATTACAGCGGCACAGGGAACGTGTCAGAGCCGTACGTTATAGGGACCGGCAGAGCTATTACACTACGGTAAAGCTTCAGGGCTTCGGTCAGGAGCGAGGCTATCGGGGCAGGGGAAGCAGCACGGCGAGCTCCATGAGGATCAACACGTAGAAGCGATGTTAATAGTCACCGTCCGGAGCGGATGGCAGTGCCGCTGGCGCCAACCCACTCCCCGGCCCCAGCGCCTGCCCGGGCATGCAGAGCGCGCGCCGCATG